TTTTGTTTTGTAGTTGAAGCCAGAAGACTGAAAAGACTTTAAAAATTTTAAGTTTTGTTACAACCTTTATGCAGTTTCACAGCTTTCACCAGACCAGCAACTGGATACTGCAAGATGGGAAACAAACAGAGCAAAATGGAAATGTTGCTTCTGCCGCTCTGATCAAGGTCTTTGCTGCTTTGGTGCATTGTCAGTCTGGGCCGGGGCCTTGCCTGGGACTTCCGCAGTCGTGTCTTGGCTTTCTCTGGAACTGGTCTATGTGTGGACATACATATTTAGTTTGGTTTTTATGTCTCTTCTCATGATGTGAGCCCAGGTGTAGCTCACACTAATCTGGGAGGTTGTGGTAGGATCTTGGATTATATTTTTAAAACAGAACTTTGTTTAAGGTGTGTGGTGATTCATAGCAAATGCATGGCAGTTGTTGAGGGGTTTGGTCATCCAGTACTTCTGCACTCATTGAAATCAATCAAAGCTTGGGTCAGACATTGCTGCAGTTTACTTTTTGTCTGAGTAGGCCAGTGCTTCATCACAGGACTGGACTTGTATTTGTATCCTGCAGGCTGAGTCTGAGTTGGTTTTCCTGGTTTAGCAGAAAAGTTTTGCAGGTTATGGCTTGAGCACCCTGGTACCTGTTCTCTAAACTTTTTTAAATCACTATTAAAAAAAAAATCCAAACAACTACTTAAATTATAATTCTTTATTATTAAAAACAAATTTAAATCTGAATATTGTTTATCTGCATGATTATTTGAAAGGCCTTGGATTTTATTTTCTTTTTCCTATTTTATTTTTTTAAGGAGGATGAGTTGTTCAGGTAAGCTGTGCAGCTTAAGTAACTGTGTATTTCCAGTACTTTTCAAGTTTTGATACAATGTTCAAGTATCCCATAATCTCAGTAAAGTATTTCTCACACTGGTCCCTCTGAGGTAATGATTTGTGTTTTGTAGAGGAGTTCAGGCACATCATATAACATGTCTGAGTTCACAGCTACAGTTCCAGCTACAGCTGGAAATTTCTCTAAATCCCTATCTGTTAGCCTAACCAGTTAGACTCCACTTCCCCTGAGATAAAGGCACCCAAACCCAGTTTTAAGCTGTATATAAGCCTTCTGACATACTGTAAGAAATAACATATTGGGTTATTATCCTTCTGCAATTTTGTGTCATTCATTGTTGAGGAACTGCAAGAGAATGAATACATCTCTTGATTCCTGCTCAAATCCACATGTAAGCTGGAAGCTGTGTGTACTGTGCATCTCTCTTTCATTAACTCTGAGATAAAATGGGAGTTGTAGATATAATTTATAATTAAACCAATTTCCAATGTTGCTCACTTATTCCATGGCTTTTCTTAACCTTAGTGCTAATAGTAATAAAGATTTTTTGAATAAAGAAGTGCCTGTGTTACACAGGAATGTGTTCACTCATCCTGTTAAATGTGTTTTTTGTTGGCATTCCATGAATTGATCTGTTACCCTCTGGTGCTGCAGCTGTTCCTAAAAAAGGACGTGCCATTTCTCATGTAATAGCTTGCCTAATACTGACAAGGGAGAAAGTTATATGATTCCACATTAAAGCAGATATTATTCATGTGAGTTTATGACACAAAACCATTAATATTATTTTGAGAAATAAGTTTTTGAAAAGTGTAAGATTTATTTCCTTTCACTTGAAAAATCAAATGCTTCAGTTGTCTAATTTAAAAAATAAAATTAATTTGCTTCCCTCCCTTCCAAACACATTCTTCTAATATGCTTTTGTGTACAAATGTACATAAAAGCATATTATGTACTCATGATGAGTTGGTTGCTTAGGGCTACGCTGCATGTGTTCGGTCAGCCTGACTGTGTGCTAACCAATTGGAATGGTACCCCATGAGCAGAATGTGGTCGTGCAACGTGTGACAAAGATTCAACCTGACAGTTTTACAGTTGTGCGGTGCATAGAGGTTTAGAGTAACAAAAAGGGGCATGAGAAACTGCATGGAAGAGACTTGTGCTGTTCCTGCTGCCTCTGCAGCAAAAATGTGTTAATGCTCTAGTCAAAAAAAAACCTGAAAAGCATTTTTCTGGAGCCCTTTTTCTCTCTCCTGTTTTACTTGAGACTGGCTAGATGTGGAGCCATCTGCATTTTTACGTTGTTTAACATACTGTCAAACCAACTGTGTTTTAATGAGGGACTAATATTAATTCATTACTGTTGGAAGACATTTCATTTATCTTTGGTAGGTTCTTTTGCATTTCAAATTTGAGATGCTTGCATTTTATATTGTGATCTACTTCCTTATGCTCTGCTGTAGATTGGCATGGAACATTCTTCTTTCATCACTTGTTTAATGCTTTTATTATAACTTGATACCTTTGTGAACAGTTACTGATTTCTTCAGGGATGTAGTGAACTTAAATGTGAACTATTTCTGACCTCTTCGGCACAGAGACAAAATACATAAGTGTATGAAATCTTGGACTTTACATGTCTAATCTGCTGCATGGTAAAAAAGATTGATGTTTATTTAGAAGGGGTGCTGAGTAGGTTTTTCTGTAGTTTAATCTTGAAAATTTCTCTGTATTGTTTTCTTTTGCATAACATGTTCTCTGTAAATGCTGTGAATGGAAAAGTCAAAAGTGACTATTGGGAGTTGAGAGCAAATAAAATCCAAGTGTGCTATGAGAAATTAGGTAGCCCAAATAGCAAACAGAAAAGAGGTCTGTGAGTGATTTTGAGGGTAATTTAATGAATGCAATAATTAGCTGTTTTTGCTTTTAAGCAAAGATATGGTTGCTGCTTTTATTTTTATAGTGATGTAGTGGTTGGAACTCAGATAATCTGTTGGATTTTGTATTGCATGTTTTCTGCTTTGGTCCTTCATTATTTTTTTCCAAAAAATGCCAGGAATTATTACCTAAAGGCTTAAAGTTATAGCTTGTGGCTTGTTTGTCTGTTTGTGATGCAATAATGAAACCTCAGCTCAATTTCTTTGTTAATAGCAGAGTTATCTAAGCACTTAGGTATTTGTTTAATAATAGAGGGGGGGTTACTCTTTCTGCCAGCATACTGAAAATTAAATTCTGTGTTTTTCACATACCTGTATTCCTTTACAGCTGAATTTACCTTGCCTGTTGCTGTTAACATGGTGGCCAAGCATCATCCTCGTGTAGAAGTAGTGTCATGTGATCTCTTATGCTTCTCCTTGCTTTGTCTTGCAACATGCTTATCAGCATAGCCTGTGTAGTATTGCCGGTGTATTTTGGAACTGTAATATGTGCAGGCAAGCCATATCTGCTAGAGATAAGGAGGCTGGTGGTGGATGAATTTCACCCCTGACAGCAGCTCCTCCATCTGCTGTGCGTTGCTGCTGCATTCAAAAGCATGCACACCTCACCTTTGGGTCTGGAAATTGGTTTGTTTGCAAAGAGAAGGAGCCAAATAAGTTGATTGTTAGCAACGGCAAGTGCAGCCCTGAAATGTGGGAAGAAACAGGTGGAGAATTTCGTGATGCAGCCATCTGATAGGGGTCGGTGGGCAATAGTAGAAGGAATGTGAGAGACTGGAGAGGAAGGAAGGAGAAAATGCAAATAACAGTTGAGGGGAAGGAATTACCTGAATTTGAAAGGAAATGGCTCTGAGGAGTGCATGTGTATATCTGAACCATAGCATTCATGGAAAACATTAATGTTTTAATCAGCAACAGTGTTAAAGGCAGCAGTTGTAGAAGCCAATGAAGTCATGTCCAAGTTCCATTTTAAAGAGGAGAAAAACCTCTTCTGTAGAAGGAGCAGCCTCTTCTCTCCATTCAACCTAGTAGTAGCATATTATTGCTGTTTAAAAGCCTTCAAAACGTAGACTTTTAATTTCTACTGATTGAGTCAGAATAAGATGTCTTGCCTTGATTTACCTGTGTCAGTAGAATAATGAATGGTGGATTAAATAGGGGGACTGAAAGTAAAGAGGAAAAAAAAATCATTGTATACTAAGATTTAAAATAATACTGAAAAGTAAGCCTCCATAGTGAAGACTAGGAATCATAAAACTTGCATGAAAACTTTTGCGTTCAGAAACTTGTGTGATGGGTTCATGGGAGCTCAGAAAGAGTCAGATCCCTGTGTTCCTCCAGAACACTGGAGTAGGTTGTCATGAACTTGTGTTTGTTCATGCTTCTGAGAGTTTGAGTCATAGCTTTAAAGCAGCTGAGGGGTATATTTCTGTGTATAGTTTTATAGAACTGGAAGAGCCTTACCTGAAGACTGTATAGTGGATTCCAGCAGCTCTTGCTCATTTTAATTTCACACTACTTTGACAAGCAAAATTTGAATCTAAGAGTTTTTAAGGAGTTATTTCCACTATGGTTTGGCTTCAGAGTTATAGTCTTGTCACCTCCTTAAAGTGTCTCTTTTCAGTCTATTGTGGGCTCTTGTTTTTAATGAGCTTGTGTAAGTTTCTGTTCACAGCTGAAATGCTTTTGGAAACAACCATCTGTTAAGAACACTAACTGGCCAGTGGATGAGAAAAATCCTGAGCAATGTTTTGGTTTCTTCAGAGATGGATTTAAACGCAAAGTCTCAAATTAACTCCATCTTGTTATCATCTGGGTGGTTTACTCTTTTTTTTGCCACCTAGTTATAACGTGACTAGTGATATCAAAAACATCATCTGAGAGGGAGATAGAACTAAGTTTGCCACCTCAAAGTAGCATGTACTTGTGCAGCAAACAAGGGGCTTGTATTTTGGAAATCTGCCACAGCTGAGGTCTAGGGGGATCTATAAGCTAATATAATCCTTTTCTGCTTATGAGCACAGACTTGATTCTTTTACAGACTGGGTTATTGGTCACCATCCTAATTAATTGTAAATGCTGGAGCATTTCTCTTTGCTGTCATGGATATAGAGTCAACAGCAGAGTGTGGGTGTTCAACAGCAGAGTGTGGGTGTTCAACAGTCTTGTTTACATCTGCATTGTATGTAAGTATCTACATTAATAATGTTGCTTTATTTCTCAAGAGCATGTCATTCCCTGTGGATATATTGAACAATTACAGTCATGAGGACTTGGAGAACTCAGCAGAGGACTACCTCTTTGATCTTCGGTGGGGGAATCCAAACTCTCCTGAATTCTTTTCTCTGCCAGACCACCGCAAGGTAAAAACCAACAAATACTGTAGTACTGGTATTCTTAAAATCCTCATAGATCTAAAATTTAAGATATCCAGTCCTTTTGAATTTCAGAACTGTTTTATCAAAGCTTTCATATTTTCCAAATTCAGAATTTGTGTGTTAAACTCTACTTTCTTCGCTCTGTAATTGGGTTTAAATCTGGGCTTCAGTTACTGTGTCCTGCTTCTAGGCAATGGACCTGTATATAATAAGCAATTTAAAAAAAAAGACAAACAAAACCCAACCTGACTATAACCTTAAATTTTCAACTTATGAATCAAACTTCATGCATTCTCAAAAGCGTATCATCACTAAGGGGTTCATGGTTTATTTAAGCTAACTGGTTCTTTTTTTCATCTCAGTTCTTCAGTGTTCTTCATGTTTGGGTTCAAGTTTTGATTAATAACTTCACTGATTTCAAAAGTGGTTCTTCTTTCTTTATCTGAAATATTCTGTGCTGTTATTAATCTCTAGCAGAGAATAGCTATGACACTTTTATGTTTTAAACCAACTTGTGTGATGAGTTGGTCAGTGTTGGTTCTGTCCAGATGAATGCTTGTATTAGAAATAGTACCAATAAAACCAGCAGCGTATAGCTTTAATGAAAAGTAAGTCAGTTGAGAGGATTTTCTGTGGGATCTAAAGGTCAGTGCCACAGATTCCTTGGCAGAATCAGAGTCTTGACTACTTTCCTGCATTTATGTAAATGCTGTATGCCTAAATGATTGCTTGTATTAACGTCCTCGTTTGTGACAATAGCATGTCATAATCTTCTTAAATTTGTTAAGCAAGTCTGTCTACCACACCATTCACATCTGTCAAGTTTTTTATACATTAATTTAATAATGAAAGCATGGGAATTTAAATATCAAAATGCATTTCCACAAAGTTACTTGATTCCTGAAAAGAAGATTTTTTTGACCCTTCCCATATTTTTTTCTGAGGAATATCAAGTAGACAATTCAGAATTTCTAACAAGTGTGTAACTTCGGGGAACAAAACCCTTTTGAATTTGCCTTCCCACTGTAGCACATTAGAACTTGTTAACAAACACAGTTTTGCTGTGTCATCTTGTTTCAGTGCTTGACTGACTGCCTCGTTCTTCTATTGGCTTTGACAGCTTGCACAGTTGGGACTGTTGAAGTGAACGTAATGCTGGCTTCTTGCACACCTTACTTCAGTTGTGCACACAAATGCAAACTGTCAGCAGAAAAGAGCTGTACAAATTACTGTAGCTAAATCTGCCAGAGCTTGAGAGTGAGAGCTCTTTAGATGTAGTTTGTCTCTAGGAAGATGTGTCTAAAGAAAGGACTGAAAGAAAGGCTTGTCTTTTACAGGTAGCTGTTAAGGACTTGATTTTTAATATTCTTCTTTTTTACCTTGATAAACATTATCTGTATTTTACTACTGTTGTTTTAGCAAAAGTCTACTGAATTACTGTACATTCTTCTTGCAGGTTCCTATTACCTTGACATCCGTGGGCTTTGTTCCTCTTTATGGTGTAGAGCAAACACACAAAGTTCTTGCACTGTTTGCACCATGGGACTCACTCACAGGTTTCATTTTAAGTTTTTTATCTCTGTATTGACTTTTTTTTTTTTTTGTGGAAAATGCATGTAACCAGGCCCTTGCTCATTTCATGCTGCTGTAGGCCATAACTTTTCCATTGTACGTTTGTTGTTCCCCGTCTTTTTGTTCACATACTATTATTTCTTTTGTGTATTTATATACACAAGTGCTAGAACTTCGCACGCTAATCAGATCAGAACTGGACCTATTGAATTCAAAAGATATGTAGCAAATTAATGTGGTGCTTGTCTGGACCATAGTACAACATGTATCTCTTGATCTCTTTATGTGTGCTTCACCTTTCCAAAAAGTATTTATTGAACATTCTTAGAATTCATTAATTTGCATATGAATGTAAATGTTCTTTATTAATAATGATTGATCAGCATAGTGTGTAAATTAGTCTTTAGCTAGAAGTCCTAGCATAGCTCTGGCTGAGATGATGGTTTTTGTGGGTTTTCTCCTCCTGTTCTTCCTCCCATCTTCTTCCCCTTCCTGTTCTCCATGTTTCTTCTTCCATTTAATGCCATGTATATGATTACCAAGTATGCCACAAATGTCTATATATCGTACTCTTCCTAACTGCTGCTCAAATTTCTATCAGCCTTTTTACATTCATCTAACTCCCTCAAACTTGTACAGTTTCAATATTAATATCTGTTAGCCACCCAGTAGTAAAATACATGTATGAGGGAGACTTATCTTGACAGTTTTTAGTGGAAGGAGATGTTAGAGCACAGTGTTGAAAGATAGAACTTATGTCTGAAAAGTAGTTCGATATATATGGTATACCATATCACAAAAAAGAAACACAAACTAACAAATCCCCCCTAGTGTTTTTTAGTCTCAGTTATCAAAAAAGGTTTTGGACTACGGAGCATTTATATGGGTAGAGTGTACAGTGCCCCGTTGGTTGTGCTAGGGTAGTAGGAGCTGCATTAATGTAGTGCCATCTAGAAGATGTGATTACTACTAATGTGATTACTACATTGTTATTCCTGAGTATTTAGCAACTTGATGAATATGTTTCTTTTGGAATGGTTAGAATCACTAACTTTTTATTTCCCTTGTTTCTTTCAAGCTGTAGCCCTGTATCTTGCTGACCAGTGGTGGTCAATTGATGACATTGTGAGAACATCTGTCCCTGCTAGACAGGGACTTCATCAGGTAAAGCACTCCAACATTCACCTAGCACTTAATCCTATGCTCCAAGATAATGGCAAATAGATAGTGTGCAAGATTTTAATTTAATTTAGTGTGCAAGATGTTTTAATTTAATTTGGAAATGAGAGGGCTGTTGCAAAGGAATAAAGGAATAGGTACAAGGGGAAAAGGAACCTCAATATGAAGATAGAGTCTTGATCAAGAACGGCCTTTGTACAGCAGCTTCATATGATGTTAGCTGCATTACCATTTTTTTTTTATTCTTTAGAATATTTGGATCTCGTTGTGTTGAAACATCTTGGTAGAATAGTGCATTGTATCATAGCAATACCTATTGATCTTATCAGGAGACTAGCAACCCAAAAATACTGTCAGGAATATGTTGATAGAAGCAAGCTGAAGCTGGTGGCTTGCAGTGGCAATACATGAAGTTCAGAAAAGTAAAGTTGCCTGGTATCTGCTTTATTGCTGCCCATCATTGACCTTTGTTACCATTATTTAACCTGTGTAGCATGGAATTTTCCAAAACTGGAAATCTGTGTTTTTTCAGGGGTGTAATTTATATCTGCTCATGGAATCTGGGCATTTGTCTTTGATTTTTGCAATTTTTAAAATTTTCTCTTGAGAGTTTGGCATGTAGTCTGGCTTTCCGCATAATTCTTAATGGTAGGAAAATCAGGAAAGCCAAATCTTTCACAAGGGAGATAGCTGAGACTAAATGTTAGAATAGGTCATGGTTCCTCCTTCATTCACAATAAGTAGCATAGTGATGAACTCAAATATCATCTATAAAAGGAACCCTGTAGGATAGAAAAAAAATATTTAATTGCTTATTTCATGCCACAGAAACTGTTGTAACAAGTTTTTTCACTGCATCACATCCTGTTGCCTGCCACTCTATCAGGAGTGATTGAGTGTGCCAAGTCCTGCCACACTGAGCCTCATCATTTCTCCTTTGTAAGACGTCAGTTACCTGCTAGCCTGGGAATTCTGAGGCTGATGTACTGCTGTTGTGTGTGGTGAATGTTTAAGTACAAGTGTAGGTTTGAGTTAGATCATAATATTATCATTCCACTGCCCTTCTCCCAGATTTTACACATTGGATTGGGAGTGACATTGAAGACATGAAATATCCTCTGTCGTTGTGATTTGTACTTAACCTATTGCAATGGCTACTGAGTATCTTCTTGCCTTGTAACAAACCTCAGACAGTCACTCTGCTTTAGCACTTACAGCCTTCCCTTGAAATCTGTCTGCAGCTATGTTAAATAAGTTCTGTCATGTATGGGTATTAACTATTCTGACCAATCTTCTGAAATGTTTTTTCTGTGTTCCCTTAGGTGAAGTCTGTTGGAGAGAGAGTTGTTCTCTATGTTCTAAATCGAATTATCTATCGAACACAAGAAATTGAAAGAAATGAGATCCCATTTCTCTGTCATGGTAGCAGCCATTATGCTAAGATCATGTGGAAAAAAGGAGAGGCTATTGGGTTCTATTCTGTTAAACCTACAGGTAGAACATTTGAGGATTGTGGGATTTGGGAATTAAAAGGGAAGAGATAGTTTGTTTGAAGACTATTGTATTAGTAGGCTTTATAAGCCTTGCAGGGCTAATTGAGTTGGTGTTTTCCTGCAGTCATAAGAGACCAGATGGCTGTTAAAATCTCTGGCTGAAATAATTACATGCTTTAGCAATGTAAGTTCTTAGTTTACTTCATAATTACAAAATGTATTTAAAATTAAGAAATTTGATATACCTGACAGCATTTTTTTCTTCTCTAGAGCAATTGTTTACACTTGGATTGGACTGTGCTTGTCTTGAGTTAGCAAAAATGGAAGGTTTTTCTTTCAAAAAATTTTCAAAATTTCACCCATGTTTGAGTGTGTGTTGTGCTCTCCAAATGAGCAGCCTATGTGGAAAAGGCCACTCTGTAAACAGATGTTTTGAGGAGTGGTGGAGGTCTTCAAGCATCCCAAAGTGTACTCAAGTAATATAACCACTCTGCTCAAGTTTCCCTTGCTTCAAAAATCAAAATAATAATAGAATCATAGAATGATTTTGGTGGGAATGGACCATTAAAGACCATCTAGTTTCAACTCCTGCTTCCATGGGCAGAGACACCTTCCACTAGACCAGGACCCCATCCAGCCTGGCATGAACATGGGATGGGGCATTCACAGCTTCACAGTTTGAACATCCCCTTTCAGGGATGTTCACACCTTCTTTCAGCAACCTGTCCCAGAGCCTCACCACCCTCACAGTAAAACGTTTCTTCCTAATATCCAATCTAAATCTACCCTCCTGTGGCTTAAGGCCACTGCCTATTATCCTGTGACTATGTGACCTTTTAAAACATCCCTTTCCAGCTCTCTTGTAGGCTCCTTTCAGGTGCTGAAAGGCCACATTTAGGTCACCCCAGAGCCTTCTCTTCTCCAGGCTGAACAACCTGAGCAGTGCTCTAGCCCTCTGATTGTTTTCATGGCCCAAAAATAAGTATGTTCATGGGTCCTAAAAATAGAAGTTTGCAAAGACTAACTGGGTTGTATAGACAACTTTGCTTCTCATTGTCCTTGTCAGAGAAGAGGGCAACTCTTTGCCATAGTTCACAGATTCACTGAAGGGCCTGAAAGTGAATTGGCTATTGGCTATTAAAGGACTGCCTTAATGCCATTATAATGACATCCTTTTCTCACTGCTGAATTCATAGCTGTCCTTGGAATCCTCTGATATTGAAGTACCTATGTGTTGTCACCATCTGTTCCATGTTTGATTAATTTAGGATAATATATTGTTTAAGGGAGAATTTCAGTGTAAAATGTCCTTGCATTTTTTGTGTCTTCATTTAAAAAATTTGAATCATTGTTTCAGTCTTTAAGCAAGAACTGAATTACTTTTCAAATTTGTCCTGAGAAGTCATGTAATCAGCATAAAAGTGTAATTAATTAATTTTGTTTTCTCCTATTCTCTCCTCCATCTTTCAGTTCCGTTTTTACTGGTTTTCATATAGAACTGTATAGTGGGATTTCAAAGTGAGCCTTTCCTCTCTGTCTTGTCTATTCTTTTTTGGTGCTACAGACTTTTTCTGTTACATTATTCTATTGATGTGTCTTGGAAACCTTATGAAGCTTGCTCAAACAAGTTATTAAATGACTAATAGGAATTATTTATTTTTAATAAAGTTATAACTTATTTTATAACTTTACTTAATTTTACTTACTTTTATATGGTTTGGAATTTTTATAAATTATAAAAGTCTTTATTTAAATATCCTAAAATCCATACTGCAGCATGTCAGTCAGCATGCAGTTACGTCATCCATACTGATAGATATTTTTTCCCTCTGATTATTTCAGGAAGTGTTTGTAGCTCTGTTGTTCATCAGAAGTATATGTTGCCAGTGCTAGACACAATGTTTGTTAGAAAGAAACATCGTGGGAAAGAGGCTGGGTTAATCATGTTGGAAGACTTTGTGGATTCCTTTACTGAAGAGTCTCTTGGCCTACGATATCCACTGTCATCTTTCATGTATACAGGCAAGCTCTTTAATTTTTTCTTCTGATCTTCTTTGTGGTTTCTTTTCATGTCCAAATGAGTATTGTCATTAAACCTCTATGTTTGTGGCCTTATCCTCAGGTTCCACATTAAATTTTCTGCCCTTTGGTGGAGGCTAAAAGAACTGATTTGTGTAAGATGAAGTAGTTCCTGATTCAATTTTTAGTCCTCTATGTAAAAGTAGATTATTTGAACTCTGAGTTTAACTGCGGTGAAGTTCACCACTGTCCTGTTTCCCCCACCAAGCCTGTAGCATGGGCTGAGGTGTTTCTGTGTGGGATCTAATGTCTGTCTGCCTTGTAGCCCCTTTTCCTTGCTCACACCTAAACCTCACAAGATTGTTTAATTCATGCTTTCTCTGAACTTCTGGTGAAGAGGACTAGGCTCTGCTTTAACTTGCATATCAGAAGGCACAGTTCTAAAACACAAGGTTTCCATTAGCAGCCTAAGAGGACTCTGTCATGTAGGAAATTACATGGATTCTGTAAACTATGTTCTTGGGACTGTGTTCAGACAAGAAGCATGTTTCTTTTGCCCTGTTTCTCAAGGCTTGTTCCTTCTTAGGCCATTTGCCAGGATTCCTTCTATGAACATTTTTATCTGGCCTTCTTAACCAGTAGAAATTTTCTGCTTTTTGAAGCACCACAGTCTGTCACTAGATCTGATAAGACCTAATTTGTTAAGCTTCAATGAGGAAAATTACTTGAGCAGAATTTAATGACCGATTCATTTTTGTAGTTAAGAAACTACACAGTGGGGATCTTGTGCTCTGAAATTGTGTATCAATATTAGACCTGGTGAAAAATGGAAGCTTTTTCTAGCAAAGCCCAAAGAATAGTGTCAAAGCATGCATACCTCTTCATCTGTATGTTTGATACAGGTTTAGAGAGAAAAAAGATGGAAGAATAGAAGCGCAGAAAATATTCTGGAAGTGAACAGTGATTAACCATTCAATGGTACCATTAACACTTCCAGGGAGTGCTTGTCACAGGTTCCTACCAGAGTGTGAGGGGACAAAAAGCACTCGATGACATCCTCTGCTTAAGAGCCCTTCTGTCCTGAGTTTGGCTTTGTAGTTGGCAGGAACAGTAACTAGTGAAGTTGCAAAAATCTCGAGTAATAGGAAAAGAAGAAAATCCCATTCATCTTTGCTTGCAGTTTAAGATAATAACAGAAAATATTTAAAGCCATATTAAGAAGGGTTTAATTAACACAGATGTGTAGGGTAAAGCAAAGTTTATTTCAGACTCGACTATTTTGTTAAACATTTCTTTCTGTTGTTGTTTTTGTATGATGGTAGATTTCAAATAATTTGATTTCGATAAACTTTAAATCTGAGATATAGCTGAGTATATAGTATCTATAATATGGTGGGGTTTTTTTGTGTTTGCTCAGCTTGTAAGCAGTACCTTGAGAAGTACCCTGGGGATAAAAACCTTTTGTGGCAAGTGGAGGGAGGAGGTGATTGGTTCCAGAGAAAGTCTATTATGTCTATAGTGCAACAGGAAAATCTCAAAATTGCAGGTATGGATGCTTTGTTTTATTCTTTTCTGACACTTTGTGAAAGTTGAAAAAATACTATGCAAGAGTGACTTCTGTGAACACTATGTAGAAACTAGCAGAAAGATTTCTATTTGTCCTGAGACCTTTGAGATCATATTTGGAATGGTGTCATATTTTAACCCCAGCTGGCAGCTAAGTATCATGCAGCTGCTTGTTCACCCTGGTAAAATGGGAAGGAGAGTCTGAGGAAAAAAAAAAAAAGTAAAACCTCTGTCTTGAGATAAGAACAGCTTAATAATTAAAATAAGATAAAATATAATAAAGAAAAGGGAGACAAAACCACATAAATAAACCCAAGAGAGAAAAGTGATGCACAGTGCAGTTGCTCACTACCTGCTGACAGATGCTGAGGCAATTGCCAAACAGCCCCTTCTAGCCAACTATGCCCAGTCTATATACTGAACAGGATATTCTGTGCTGTGGAATATCCCTGTGGCCAGTTCAGGTCAGCTGTTCTAGCTATGGTCCCTCCCATCTTCTTGTGCACCCGCTCACTGGCAAAGTGTGGGAAGCTGAAAAATCCTTCACAAAGGGTAAACACTACTCAGCAGCAATGAAAATAGTGTGGTATCAACATTATTTTCATACTGAATTCAAAATGCAGCACTATATCACTACTAGGGAAAAAATTAATTCTATCCCTTCTGGAAGTGGGATGATATCCACTCCTTATATTCTGTATCTGCTATGTCATACCCAGGTTCTGTTCTTTGCAGTTGCCAGTCATTCTGACATCATTACATTTCCTATTTTCTGATACACACAGACCTCACATACATGTATCATTGTCTTAGTCTATGGGCCTTCCCTCTAAAATGTCTGTTGAATTCTTTTAGTCCATGACTTTGAGTTCCATCTGTTGTAACGATCTTTCAGGGCAGAAAAGATACTGCATCAAGATGGATTGTTGCATGCTGGAGCCAGTTCTGCCTTCTGTCACCACTGCACTTGTTTGCTTTCTCAAAGTTATTTGTTCATTGGTCTGGGTGGTTTTTACTGTAATAGCCTTAATATGGAATCAGGTTCTGATTCCCAAATTCAGAATGGTGAAAACAGGTGCTGTGAGGTCCCCAGTTGAGTGGTAGGCATATAACCATGAAAGAGACAGTATAAAGTGTTATATGGTAATTAATATAATGCAATTTAATTTATTGGCTACTTGCACCCAAAATCAAATCCCCATAAGCAATGCAATGGACTTCCCCCATCTTCCTGTATTTACCTGCTAAGGGGAGCCACGTGCTTGAGCAAACTCAGTTCCACAAATTATTTTGCTTTTTCCTGAAGCAGGAATAACCCAGACTGTTTCTTTCTGCATGTTTATGCACACTACAGGAAATTTATTTTCCTTTCTACAATGTGTAGAAGTTTGGACTATGCTGTGTCAGACTGACTGTCAGATTCCCTAGTGTTTATTTAACAGGTGGCTTCTGCCCAATGTTTGAAGATTGCCACCCACTGCTCCAGGATAATGGATAACAGCCTGTTGTATAATTTCAATTTTGGGGAGGCTGGTACATGACAGAGAATGTGATATTCCCACTCAATGCCATGGTCTTTGGCCCAATTGTCTAGGATGTTGTTTGGAAAATTAGTTGCACTATCTCATTCTGCAATAATTTTCTCTTTTACTGACAATTCTGATCCACCTGAGTTGCTTCAATCTTAGCAGCCTGATGCACTTTCTGTTTGTACTGATGTTCCTCTGTGGCCCATTTAGTGGGTGCATCAGTCTCTGCATCAGGTACTTTCACAACCAGGTTCTCCACCTAGACAGCAGTATCTTGTCTATGGCATATGATATGGTGTCATGGTTTGAGGCTGGTGCAATGCCAGTGCCCCCATGAAAATATACTTTTCCTAATGGCTTCTTTGAGATGTGATCAGGAACAGAGCAAAGCAGGTTCTAACTTAGGAGTAAAGGAAACAAACTTTATTAATTACAATATCTAAAAGGGAACAGACAAAGAACTAAGAATGAAAACCCTCCAAATACATTCCTTCTCCTCCCCCCATCTCCTCCACAGCATGAAATGACACCACAGATTTCCACCACGTCACCGTCTCTCAGAAAATCAACTTTCAGTTCATCACCACCCCTTAGATAATCGACTCTCAAATCCATCAGGGAGAGAGGAGTCCTCCCTTGCACCATAGGCTTCCCCTAGAAACACAATTGAAACCTCTTGTGTTTCCATGTCACTCGTGGCACCGCCCAGAGAACATCGGCCCTTGTGACTTCTTCCCTCCATGTCCAGTGCTCTCATCACTGCACATGGACCAGGGGCTGCCTTTAGGGTTCCCCATTTAAGGATGCCCTGCCCAGTTCTAACAAAAGCAGCAGTCTCTCAGCTTCGGGACACCAGTCCCCCCCAGATTTCACCCACTGGGGCCTCGGGGCCTCATGAACAGAGATCTTGCTCTTCTCTGAAGACAGAGGGCATCTCACACCCTCCTCAGCCGTCTCTGTTCACGCCACTGCTTCACTCCACTCTCTTGGCTTCAAGGCATTGCCTCCCCCTAAATGCAGTCTCTGGCTCACAGGAAATACATGGGTCTGTCCATGGCCATACAAGAAAGAGTCCAGCCCAAGGCCACTCCATCATCTCTTCCCAGCTAGGATTCTTCCCACCTCTCTGGACATCTCTCACTTGCACCAACTTTCCTCACACTTGCCCCTTTCCTCCTGCTTCATCTCTCTCTCTCTCTCCTCATTCAGATTCAGGAGGATCAGTATTTGTAAGGTTTCCACTATTCAAGAAAAGGGTTAAAATTTTCACCTCTGTCTGCCTGGAACTCCCACAGAGACTGGTTCTCTGTGCTGCATGCCCCACCTCTCCTTCTGGCCGGCTGTGCTGCCAGTCCATGATATCACATTCCAAGGCAGCACAGGCACTGGCTCTCTCTATCTCATTCTTGGGAGGCCCGATGCTTCTCAGGGCTCCTCCACCCTTCCATCTTGCAAGGCCTTCACCCCCTCCTCTGCCCGAGGCTCCGGCCTACCTCACCCGGCCGCATGGCTTCCCTCCCCCAGCCAGCCCCGGCTGGGCAGGGGAGCTCTGAGCTCCTTCACTGACCTGAACCAAGGGAGAGAATTCCCAGGAGTTCTCAGATTTTAGCTCCCTCAGAGGCGGTCCATACCTTCAGTGGCCAAACCAGGTGCCAATATTCAAATCCAAGCACTGATTGGTTTGACCACAACCTGCCAAAAAACTCACTTCCTTCTTAACCTACAACATATGGCATATGCAAGATACTGCAATATGGCAGCTCAGATGGCCTTACATTTTTGCTGCCAGTTACTCTGCTTCTATCATTGCAACCACCCCACAGAGTATTTGTCACTACACAAGTCAGTGTAGAACTAAAATATTGGTCGTTTTTCTCATTCAGCAGTGTCTAAAGCCAGCTGGATGGCCTTCACCTTTGCAAATTCACTTGATTCACCTTCTCCTTCAGCAGCTTGTTGTAGGACACTCAATCTCTCTTTCCTACAATGTATCAGAACAATAAGTAAATAAGGCATATTTCTTCTCTTTTTCTGGTAATTTATTACACAGTGAGTTCTCTTGAGTATGGGTCACTTCTTCTAGTGATATTCCAAAATCTTTTCAGGCCAGTCCTTGATCACTTTCAAGATTCCTGGACGGTCTAGTTGGTGCAGTATTTCTGATGGTTCACCATTGTGTTAGTGACTGGCACCTGTTGTTCTTCAACAGCCCCACAACAGAAGGATGCTCTGAGAGAAAATGCCAGGCAGACAGATGCTTAATTTCCCCTGTCTCCAAGGCATCTGTAATGAAAGCCCAGTGAAAGCCTTTTGGGTCCCTGAAATATTCTCTTCTGAAATGGTCTGTGACAAAGATGCACAGAGTCTCTGGGCAGTCACAGTGACATGCTTTTGCCACTCATTCCCACTCAGGCGAGTCTCAGCCTCCCTTACAGTCCACTATTGGGACCTCCCTGTCACTCCAGAGCTACAAATGGGTTATTGCCTTCTATAGCATGATGGCATTATGGGACACTGTGCACTAATGTCTATTAGACCCTTATACTCTTGTGGGTTTGACATTCTAGGCTACTGGATCCTCACATTCCAGTGAACTTAACTGATTGTCGTCTCCCATTGATGAGAGGCAGGGCCCTCTTAGTACAGGATATAGCATTCTCCACCCACTTCTTGTGAAAAAGGATTAGAATTCTTTACCATAGAATCAGGAGTAAGATTAGCCATTCCATTCTGTCTGGGGAATTGCCTGCTGGAGACTGGAGCACCAATTTTCCTGGAAGAATCCACATTTGTGATTGTTTTTCCTTGCAGTTCATGCCTCTAGGGTGGAGGTGGATTTCCATATAATTTTTTCATATCCTTTCTGTGGTCCCACAGGATTTTAAAAACCATGGTGTGTACCCTTTACCCTCTTTTTTGAGCAAAAGAATCTCTTAATAGCTGGGATACTTGTCTGTACAGGTGGGGAGTAGAACTTCTTTTTGTTGCTGTAACTCCTGGAGCTGTTTTTCATACTTTTTGAACAGATTTTTTCACAACTGAGAGGCAAGTCCATAGGAAGGGAGAGAGATTTTCTTTGTATTCCCAGAGTTAGCAAACCACTTAAACCACTGTGAGTGCTTCTTCATCTCTCTAGGTCATTTATGCCAATGAGTTGAGATGATGGTGTGCTACATATACAAATATCTACCACGTGGGTTATGTGCGTTGGGCTTTGTCAAGATCAGTAGGTGACTTCACCTTCTTTGGCTTGTAATAAATCATCTCCATCACAGCTACTTCCCTCAGGTCCTAGACACCTCCCTCTCCATGGTGGTCCACTTGCCTGGGTGACATGGAATGTCTTCCTTGAAGGTCTTTCCTTCACACTTGACAAGCAATTAACGGCCACACATCTGCTTGTTCCCCCCTTAGTGGGGTGGGGAGGAGAATCTGAAAAAAATGCAAAACCTCTGGATTGAGGCAAGAACATTTTAATAACCGAAATAAAATTAAACAGAAGCATAATGTGACAATAATCATAATGAGAAGGGAGACAACAAAACCAGAAAAAGGACACCCAAGAGAGAGAACTGATACACAATGCAGTTGCAGTGACTAGCCCCTCCCAGTTTATTTACTGGGATTAACAATGTGGTATGGAATATTTCTTTGGTCCTGGCTGTGTCTTGTCCCCAGCTTCTTTTGCACCTGCTCACTCAGCATAACAAAGTGAAAAGTCCTTGAATAAGGGTCACCCCCTATTTAGCACAACTAAAACATCAATGTGTTATCTCACACTAAATTCAAGACAGAGCATTGTATGAGCTATAAGGAAGAAAAGTAACTCTATCCCAGCTGCAAGCAGGACAAATGGTTGTTATATAAAGGTACTCATTTTCTCTTGCTCTGTTTACTCCTTTAAATCTTCACAGGAGAGACCTCAAAGAAGGAGAATAAGAGTTTGGAAGCAGAGGACAGTTTTTGTCAGTCTGCAGTATCTGAATCAGGTGGACCAAGGACTGAGGCAGAAACACAACTAAGTGTAGGTACACAGTTTGTTACTTCTTTTTTTTTTTGAGTGTATTGTTACTGGAAAAACAGTTATGAGAAATTATTTTTGCTTACTTGTTACTTTCTGTATGGATGTAATGCTTCCCATTGATGTAATGCTAATGTTGGAGATGGGTTGGTGGTTTTTTGTTTTGGTTTTGTTTTGTTTGTTTTTTGCTGTGTTTGATTTTGGTTTGGTTCTTGGTTTTGGCCTTTTTGTTGTTTTTTTGTGGACAGGTGGGGTTTCCCTATGCATGTAGAGAGTGTGTGCTGCAGATATCAGGGTCTGCAATTTGGGTCTTTTACCACCAGATTGCATAAAGGAGAGTATTTCAACTGTCTCTGAGATTAAACTATTTAGAGAGTTTTTAGAGGTAAATATCCATGTAACAGTTCAATACAATGGCTGATGTTAAGTTTGCGTGGAGAGATAGACATTGTCTGTACAAAAAGACCGCAGCTTTCTTTGCGTGTATTTGATACAGCAGCCAGATTGCAGCTGCTCATGGACATGTGGTTATGAATATGTTTGGGTCATTAAATATTATGAATCTCTTCTTTTATTTCATTTGTGTTCTTAAGCCACACAGAATGTGCTTGACAATCATTCATAGCTCCAAATACCATGAGCATAGATTCGCATGCTTTAAGGAATGTCTGTGTTATTGACATGACCATGCTTTCATAGAAGTCAGTGCTTTAATTAAAAATAGGAAATAATGGCTAAATCAATACTCTCAGATGTTAATATTTAAACTTTAAGTAAAGTTTTCCCAGTTGAGAAAAATTATTTCCCAAAGCAAAATTGACAGAAAAATAGTGATTTTTTAAATCTCTCAGTGACTGGAAGCAATAACTCTTAGTTGTCTTTCATTTGCAACAGTGTCTCTAGCCTCATCTCTGAGTTTTAGGTAGATTCCAAAAACGATCACATCAGCAAAATGATCTAAAAACTTACACATTTTGGTTATGGAGCTATATGGATATACCCGTAGAAAACAGGAGAGTGATAGCAATTCTTTTGATTTTTGTTGCTGTGAGTTAAAGAAGCCCTGTCTCTTTCCCTTTTGTAGAGGAAAAGACAGTAGATACCAAAGTGCTCCAAATCCTCATAACTTGGTAAAACTGCTGGCAGCTCTAAAATTGGCTTCTGCAGTATCTATAAGCAGTTCTGCAATGGTTTGAAAATTGTTGCACCACCTAAGAAAGTAAAATATCCCACTTTCCCCCAAACCATGAAAAAACATTTCCCAACTTTAATTTTTACCTTTCTGTTAGCACTCCCCATTTTGTGCATTTTGATTCTAAATAATTTGTTGTTAGTTTGCAAATTCTTATGTACTTAGTGCTCACTTGAAACTACTTGTCTTGGTTTGAAAATACAGGCGTCTGCTAAGGAAGCCAGGAGCCTCCCCTGAACTGGAAAGTGTAAACCCCCTCCCTTCAAATTGTTACAAATTTGAAATTAAGTGGGGCTCTCAGGCGAAGATATAGGAGCAGGAATAACAGTTCTTTATTAGGGGAAAAAAAAAAAAAAAATAAACAATGTAGTAATACAAAACAACACCAACAGAGTCAGAACACAATCTGGTCAGGGGGTTGGTAGCAGTCCCATTAAATGGTGGCTGCAGTCCTCCTGGAGTGTCAGGTGTGGCTCTGTTGGAGCAGTGATCCTGTAGAAGTGGTAGTCTTCCTCTGAAGATCCAGTGGAAAAGGCAGCTGTTCCTCTGGGAATCCAGTGGAAAGGCTGTTCTGGTGGCCCAAAATCTCAGATTATATCCAGTTAGGATGCTTGGCTCCTCCCTCTGGCTGGAGCATCTCACAGTGGGATGCTGTAATTTTTATCAGTCATGCAGTGACACTCAATAGCCCATTCATAGCAGATGTTTCCCTGGAGGGAGGATTGATTATGGAAGAGATAAAGAAAACTGCCCAGTTAACAGAAGATAACTGCCACACCTCTAACAGGTGGTAAATAGAATACACATTGCCTTGCAATCTAGGACACTACTTCAAGTAGCAGAATGTAGGTATGACCACTTTTTGCCAGTCTTCTTCCACAATACTGGAAGTGAGACTGAAAAGGTGGACCAGGATGCTGGTAATTGCTGTTTCAGATTATTACTAGCAGCTAAGAACAAACAATGTACATAATTTTATTTTAATGTGTACAGCTTGTACTCACTGTATCAAGTGCCGAATCCTCAGCTAATTTGCAAAAAAAAAATTAAGGTATTGGGATGGTGTGGAGAAACAGGGGACAAAAAAAGCTCTAGGGAGAGGGAGCTAAGCAGCCTCTTGTGCTGACTGTGCATGTAAGCTGCCTTACTGATGAATCACCAAGTTCTGGCTTTTTTATTTTTTACATGAGTTGCCCTATTCTGTTGGATGTCATGACAAAAATAAAGCTATAGAATAGTATACAAGTATAAAAATAAGACTTTACAAATAAATTTTGCCAACATCTGCAGTGTAGTCCCTTGGATTTACACAGAATGGGGAAAAACAGAAAGAGAGTCCTATAATTGACTTGTGTGGACACTTACTATAAGCAGAACTGTTAGGAAAAAATCTTGATAGTATTAGTTAATAGTGACAGGTCAGCTTGAAATCTTGTCTCTATATTGAAGCCAGAAGTAAAACAAAGAAAAACTAGTAATCCATGACATAAAGACAACTTTTAAAAAACGTTAAATTTGTTGAGATGAGACAGAAGACTTAGTTATAAATTAAGAATTATTTTAACTGCTGTTTTATAGGATCATTACTATGAAATAGTGCTTTAGAAAGGTGCAACCATAGGTAGGATGATGAAGGTATTTTAGTAAATTCAGAAAATTTTAGAATAACACTAGCTTTGCTTTTGCTCCACAGGCTGACTCTCAAAAAGGTAAAGAATCAACAGATGCAAGCACATCTGAAGGTAAAAATAACCTTGATTATCTAGTATATTATCTAGGTGGATACTCTAGATAGATAGTTTTGCAGGCTATTTTATAGCTTTCCATTTTGCTTCATTCATCTGTAAAATGGATATGAAAACATGCTTTCCTGTAAGGTGCTGAGATTCAACTCGTATATCTTTTAGAGGAATTCAGATAAAATTGTTATGAGTCTTGGTAAAGACCCTATTCAGAAAGAAAGTACAAAAGAAAGTAACACAATGAAATGCTTTTTAGTGGCACTCAATTTCTTTCATGAACTATTTTGGATGGCGAAGTCATATGCAGATCTTAGTCTGAATTTGTTCACTGGAATTTTTTTTTGTGTTATTCTCCTAAGATCCTAATGCAACTCCTGTTTCCATCTGGACACGAAGCAGTCATTTAAAACGTCAGAGGCTAAATAAAAATAGACAGGAACCTGGACTTGAAACTTCCCAACAAGATGAGGAAAATGCTCTTCAGATGTCCAAAAGCAGGTACCAGGAGCCCATTTTTACTGATTTCTTATTTTGTTGCTTAGGCAGCCACAAACTACATTAGTGTCTCAGGGTGTGCAACTGGTATTGCTTCTCCTTTCTCCCCACTTCACTTGCTTCATTTTAAAATTACTAAAAGTAAAGTCTAATACAAGATAGGAAGAGAGAAAAATGAGACATCATTTGAAGAGTGATTGCACCACAATGTAGTACCTGTGAAAGCTCAGTAGATAATAGAAATAGTAGGAAAATAGTGAAGGTTGAGTGTGTCCTGTTGTAACTGAATCTGTACAATGGTAAAAATATTTGTATTCACAGCACAGTTTCTTGAGATAATATATCTGGACTTACATACATAACACCCTGTGTGGTCTTTGAGGAGGTATCCCTTCCCCACTTCTTGTTACAGTTGATGTATTGCAATAAAATATGGTCTGACTGTTCAGCTGGGGAGCTGGTCACTGCTTGTCAGCTAATAAGTGTTATAGGGAGCCATGTCTTCAAAGGAAAGCCCTTTGCTCAGACAATATTTCAAACCATCATATCTGATCTAACATCCTGAAAAGAACCCAAAACCATTTCCAGTTTAATGTTAACCTGTGTAACATCATAGATATGGATGTGAAGAGTAGTGTGACTTTTGTGCCATAACAGTTCTTACAGGACAGGGCTTGGAGTAATAATTTGTACTGCTTTCCATTCAGAATTTCTATTTTTAGTCAATAAATAGCCCCTTCCTTCCTCACAGACACACTATGCCCACCCCACCCTGCTCCATGTGTATGTCTCCCTCTCATTCTCTTCCAAAGAAACCCACTTCAACCCCTAAAGCCTCTTTCAACAAACTGAAGATAACCTGATTATTTTCTAGGAAGTCACTCAAGCTTGTGACATGAGGCTTCTTTAAACAGAATTAGTTGGGATTCTCTTTGTGCAGTTGAGACCTTACACCAGCTAGTGGCTATTTTTTGTGTTTAAATTGCTCTGTGGAATTACAGATATGTATTGCTGTGCTGCACTGTCAGTGCACTGCTCTAAGCTGGTTCAACAGGTCAACTGGCACACTTGATGCTGCCACAGCTTAAGAAGTGCTGTTACTTCTAATAATTGGCTAGTTTGTATGTGAGAGGACTAACCTGATATGATTGGTTACTAAACTAACCTAATTTGAATGTCAAATTTTGGGCCTTGCCAAAATTAAGGCAATGAGGTGTTGCTGTTTCACAAGATGCGTTACATGGTGTTTTTAAGCAGAGCTAAGAGGAGTGCTGAAATGGAGGCATCAGAACAGCATATAAGCTTGGTATGTTTCGTTCATGCACACAACAAATGAAACAGGGTCTTCTGCTGTGGACTTTCCTATTGAGTCCTACTTTCATCTCAAGACTGGCATGTAGGATAAAACCCTCCAGTACTGCCTTTACTATGAGATCACAAAGTAGACTCCTGTGAATCTATTGCATGCACATTTTTCTTTGCTCATATGTAATAGTTTCAGTTCATCTAAACTTTATCATCTCAAAAATGAGAACTGAATATTTGATTTACTGTTACTACTCTGAAGTAGTGGCAGTGCATCAGCACTTCACCTTTAGATATTTGCTAATGTAACCTCTAGCTGATGGCAGCTTATTCACTCTTGATGTGTTTATTGCCTTGAGTTATTTTCCAGTCATGGTCTTTGTGATACCTGTATTTTCAGTGGTTATACAAATACAGCTGTTTTCATAATTCCATTATTTGAAAATGTTTTTACAGTGAGGATGGAGGGAAAAAAAAGTTGCTGCTTTTCTTAACCCTTTGTAGCTTTCAAATATGTCATGCATCACTACTTTCTAAATCTAAAATAACAAACTTGGAGAAATTTCAGATTTCTTTCCCATAAAATGGCAATGAGACAGATATAATTTTATAATTGCCAAAGTAGTTTTCCTAGTTGTTGTTTTTTTTTCCTAATGAGGAGTTAGCCATTTTTAGATTCATTCAGTTTTCTTGATTTGTATTTCCTGTGGCAAACATGCACTACATAATTGGTCATGAAAGAATTTCCCTGCTGAGATCACCAAAATTATGCATTAATCTAAAAGATATATCTCAATACCTGCTACAGGCCGGAACTTCTTGCCCACACATCTGAAAGCTCTGAAGACTTAGTAGAAGTGCCTAAGGTGGATACTGTTGAGAAGGATGAGGAAATAATTGTTGAAAATGATGATCAGTCCGTATTAGAAGCAGAAATGCACGTATCACCCTCTGAGAAACAAAGTGAGATGGAGGTGAGCTGGATGGGATAACAGTAGCAGATAATTTTGGAATACAGCTGCAGTTTGTGTTAAATATGGTCCTTGCTTCCTTGCTCCATGTGATTTTCACCTCTTTGATTTTTTGCACCAGTGCTTCATTAAGAAGTGTATCTGAGAAGTTAAGACTAGTACAGAATTAGTTTCAGGAAATATTTAAACGTGCATATTTTGAACAATAGAGTTTAAAGGATCTTCAGTAAGATGAATTTCTAGCTTGTTTTCTTCATTGATTTCTCCTAATAAGAAATTCCAGAGAACTGGGATAAGGTCAAGATCTGATCCAGTATCTCTAATTTTAAAAAAGTTTTTTGGAGACATCACTACGGTCTGCTTCAGTGACTTCTGTTGGTTCTTTTTACTTCTCTACTTGAAACTTGCCTGTTGGATTTAAACATCAACTTTAAATCCAGCTTTTAGCTTCACCTTGGTAACAACTACAATTTAAATTTCTGAATATTCTTTGTGCCTAGCAATGCCCTCAGGGTTTTATGTTCTTACTGATGGATGAACATGTTGGGTTCAAAGAATGATTGCACGAGGCATGAGAGATGCATTAAAAACTCCTTGTCTTGGCTCCTAACTGTAAGCTGTGGTCATATATTTAGTCTAGGTGACAATAACAAACTAATACTCTGGCTAAGTTAGCTAATCTGCTGGGGAACAATAGCTAGGCATAATTTTGACTTACAAATATGCGGGTTTTGTTTTGGTTTTTTTTTTTAGGAAATGCCATCAGAACCTTTTAATGGTGAGGTAGCAGAAGAAACTGCTAAGATCTCACTCATGGCTGAAGGGGAGATGGTAAATGAGGTTCCAAGTGTCGAATCAAAATTGCTGTCTGAGAATCAAGGAAAAGAACCTGTAACACCGTTTGTTCCATTAACCCTTGATGCTCCAGCAAAACCCCCAGAAGACACTGAATCAGAGAAGGTGAGAGAATTGAAACAAAATGTTAAGTAATTTTTACTTCAAAGTCTATTTATCTTACACAGAGCTTTTTCTTTTGTTAAGTAACAGAAAATAGCCCCTAACATTTTATGAAATTATTGGGACAAGAAATTATTACGCCAGATTATGTAAATCCATAAGGAGAATACACTAACATTTGTTTCAATGTGCAGAAGTGGGACCTATATGCATGTGATACCCAAAAGAAAGATATGTTTGTAGCAGTTTGCCTTGACAGTTATGAAACTGCTGTTTCTCACTAAAATACTGGTTCAGTAACAGTGAAAAGCCACATACTTGTTTTGTCTAGCAATTTTTGCCTGATGCAATGTACAAATAATTAACTATTGCTAAAATGTCTTTGCTTTCAGAACACAGGTTTTACTGTTTTCTTGTTTATAGTGCAAAAGCAGATTATTATATGCTAGCAAAACACTAATTGTATTTGTCTAAATTATTTTTTCTCCTTAGGATTAATGTCAGAATGCCTTTTCTGTACCTCAAATTATTCAACTCTTTTGAACAATTTAAAAATCAGAGAGGAACTCTGGATATGAAATGCAGGTCACAAAATAGTCTTGTGCAAAAAGGAGGACTGTTTTGTCAAGTTATGTGTACATGCTGAATGCCAAACTATCCACTGATGTTAAAATAGCTAGAGGCAGTAGTTGTTCAGTGTCTTTTACCTTCAACTAATTGTTGCTTTCGATTGTTTTCTTCCACCCATAGGTTTTAAATGAAAATGATTCAGAAATGCTGACTGAAGAAGTTACATCAGTAGAGAAGGAGAGCACTGAAGAACACCAAGAATCCGAAAAGGCCAGCACTGAAAATGCAGCTGCTTTGGCATCAAAGGAAGAGTCATCTGACAATGGCCTGCCCAATTCTGTGGTAACTGAAGCAGCAGAAGAATCTGTTTCTGAAAACCTACCTTCCTCATTAGAAGATCAAAATGAGGAAGCAGGGCACCACTCGCAGGAGGCCCCAGCTGCCTTGAGTCAGAGCTCCTTGGTAATGGTTGAACTTGAGGGTGTTTCTTTTCAGCAGCCTTCTGGACAGGAAGCACAGAAGAACCAGTTGGAAGAGCCCTCAGAAGAGTCTACAGAGCAGCCAGATCACTACACGCAGACAGTGGCAGAGCGGGCTGCTGACAGCAGCTCTGAGGAAGCAGAAGTTGAGGTACCCGTTGTAGATCGAAGAAACTTGCGAAGAAAGGCTAAAGGCTACAAAGGTCCACCCAAGAAAAAAGGAAAGCCAGCTTAAAAATCAAATAGTGATAATTTATCTATTTATAACAAGGCTATTTTGTGTAAAACATTAAGGTGTAACTGCACCATATCTGGCAGAGGACACACATGCTTAAAATTCTGGGTTGGATTTCCTCTTGGGTTCATCCCCTTTCCTTAAGTTTTGATTTGTTTATTTTTTAAATTTAACCACTAGAAATTGAACTTCTATGTAATATGAAAGTAAGTAGCCAGACTTCTCCCTTCAGAAAGGATTCCTGATGAATAAATACAGTTGTGCTATCAAAGGGAATAGTTTGTATATTTGAGGTGGTAGTCATGGAAGAAAAATGCAGTGTGAAATCCTGTCAAGGTCCCTTAAATTGCTATAGACTTCCTTGTCACTGGACATGACTCGAGATAATTTTTTTTAATAACTTTGTGTTCTCTACTGTGAAGAAAAGCAGAACAAGAAAAATTCCCTCATTGTTTCTTGTTCCCTTCCCACAGGCTTAAGAGAACGTAAAATTCTTCATTTCTAGGTCTCAAAATGTACAAGAAGGTGTAGCTCAGTAGATCAATGCAACATGAGCAGCACTTGTCTTTCATGAGAATCACTTGAAACAGCTGAGGCGATAGAATGCAGTGCAGTGTCTGCCACAGCACTTCCTAGTGGATTTCTTGAGCAAAGATCAAGAGATGCCTACACAGTAAACTATTTGTAGTTTCCAAAGCAAGCATTTTGGTAAGCTCAAGTTTTTCCAGAGTATACAGAATGGAGCCTCTATATGGAATCATTTGAACGGCCTTCCTAACTACTTGCATGTGTGGATAGCTGCTTCCTTGTTGCATTACAGGAAAAGGATATGACAAATCTTGATCTTGTTTTGGTCTGAATGGAAGCAGTTCTTTGTGTTTTCCAAATACTTGGCTGGTCTTGTGCGGTAACTACTGAAATGTTGTGTCTTCCAGGTGTGTGACTCCAGTGGGCACTGACATTTCAGGTGGTTGTGATATTCTTTAGGGTATTAGTGGATATTTCAGCAAATGCTTGCTTGCCAAACTTCTATGCCTTTAGGAGTTAGTGGGTGATACTTTGCGAATACTTCTGATTCCCACTTTTGTTTTCTAACTTGAGTGTAATTTCTGGGATGATAGCTTCCTAGTTGATGACTTTTCTTAAAAGCAGCAACCAAAATTCACTGTATGCCAACAGGAATAAACCCAGACTTGTCATGCTCATTTCCCTTCTGAGGTTCTCTTGGCAAACTGTGTATTTAACTTGTCACACATACCTACATTGGCCTTAGTTTGCTGTGTGTTTCTTTCAAATAAATACAGATCCTTTTGTAATGGGCTAAAAACTCAGAAATAAAAGAACAATGATTCTGAGAACAGAAGATTACATTACCTTTTGTCCTACATATTCCTTTTCCAGATCTGTGAACTAGTCTTTTGCAGTGTCTCAAAAACAGAGGTACAAGGTTCACTTGAATAGTTGCAAATGCTGTCTTAACTTTTATCCCTTTATGAAGTTAATGTAAGAATCTGGTTTTGGATTTTTATGCTTATAAAATTTAAATCTATTTATAAGCTATTTTAACTATTTAAGATACGTTCATACTTTTTTTTTTTCAGGTGATGAAGTACTATGTTCCTTTTCAATTTGTTAAAAGCAACTTACAGGAAAAAAAAGGCAGTTTTAAAAAAATGTGTGTTATCTTAAATTTAGATTCAGGGTGTGTGAGATTACTGAGTTAAATATGGGTTTCTTGAACTATTGTATGTAACTAGTATCATGTCAATGTACAGTATCATATCTGTATCTTCACATGCAGATACTCATTATGAACCCCATGATTGATAAATATTCAAGATATTTCCTGATTGTTTGTAAACTTATTCAAGTGAACCTTAAGCATTTCTAAAACTCATAAAGCTTTTTATATAAAGCATATAAGACAAAACTTTTGATATTTTCTATATGGTTTCTCTTTTACTGCTGAGATAATTGCTTTTAAAAAAGAAGTGTCTAGAAAACACATCTATTGCATTGCTAAGAATTGGGGATTTTTGAGGACTGGTGGCCTAAAATAGAGCTGGTTGTACACAGTATACTGCAACTCATCTTCCATTTTTACAGCAAGCTTTACTGAAGATTCATCTTCTGAGTCCTTCAATTGATACAAATGTATTCACTTTGAAAAAGTTAAGGATTCTTTTACTTATGAGCCCCAGTAATTTCAATTACTTCTAGGTGGATTTTTGATATGTATGTTTATCACTTATATTCCTGGTGAGGTTGGAAAACTGTTCATGAGAAGTTAATTTCTCTCACTCACTTTTTACTTTTAATGGCTAAATTGGAATGATTTCATTTAGTACTTTTCTTTTGAGACATTTGTGAGTAAATACATAAATATTATGACACTATGATATTAGGATAGTTTTGGTTTCTATTGAGAACAACAAAATCTCTGATCTCCTTTCAGTGAGTCAGTTTTAAATACTGAACTTAAATTCACACGTTAAAAGTGTAGCCTTGAATAGTTATCTTTATAAATCTGGGGTGCCTGGGATAATAGCTGATGAGTAGACTTTTACAAACACAATGTGTGCAGTTGTGATGCAATTAGTAATTCCAATAACCAGTACAGTCATGAAAGATGGACACTGTTCCAACAGTGATCATAGCAGTACTTTGCACCAAAGGACACATTTTATTTCTACAACAACTTCTTTGGCATCAATCTCTCCAGGAAATGCAGAGTAGCAAAATCAAAATACTGACTTTAAATAATAGTTTTTATTGCTGTACTGATTGTCCCACAAGAAGAGTAGTTCAATACCTTATTAATTGTGTTGCACTTATGTAAGGGAATGTGTTTGACAGCTATATTGACTGGAGTGCTTTACCTTGGGGACTATTAACTGTCTTATCAACATCAAACTCTTAAACAATTTTAAAGGTCCTATTGCACCAGCAACGAAAGATTAAAAGATCAACTTTATACAAGTTTGTACCAAATGTTACTACAACATGCTGTGGAACTATGTGTGTACAGTGAAAAGCAGGCAGTATTATTTTTGAGCTTTATTTAGTCTAGGAATAGAGTTTAAAGAACATTAATTTGTGACTTCAGCCTTGCACTTAAATGGTAAATGGTTTTGTACTTGAATCCAATATTTGTTCAAATGTCTGTCTTGTACTGCTTCTCCCATATTCTCGCTTAGTCCATTTTAATTTAATGCAGAATTCTTGTTTGCTATTCTCCTGTTTCACAGTCCTTTGCATGAAAATGTATACATCTTATTTCAAAAGCGCTTTAACTGATTTCAAATTATGTCTGACCTTGCTGCTTTTTTGTACCATTTCTTTTGTAAATGTCAATAATCAAATTGACCATTTACAATGTCATTGACACTATTAGTAACAAATTGGCCTATGTTTCAGCTTCCTTGCTTCTAAGTGACTGTTCTAAAATATTACTATGGGGATACACTTTAAATTTATTTCCACAAATGTGGTGTTAGATGTTTTCTAAACTAGTGATACCCTGTTTATAAATCTTATGAAAGATGTATTGCTATTGCATAGTATTGTACCTTAGTCTTGTTACTGTGTTAATTTTTCCTTTCTTTAGTACTGTCTTAGCTGCTTTTGAAATGTTTTGAAGTAGTAATAAACTTTTATTTTGTGATTATTTTTTGCTTGGTTTTTAATATTTGAGTCCTTTTTTGCTATATAGGAAGCACATTATAAAGTAGTTCAATGCACTGGAACAATAATTTTACAACCTGTCTTCTACAAAGGAGTCTTTAAGAAATTAAAAATTATTTTTAAAATTATAAAAAATTATTAAAAAGCCTTGTATCAGTTAAAATAATTTTCTTTAGTGTATGAATCAGATTTTATTTTTTAAAAGCAGCAAAATAGGCTCTTCTGAGCATTACGGCATGCATTCTGCTGTTTGTATCAGTTGTGCAACATGATGTAAATTTAGGAGTTGTTAACGCAGTTTGCTATAGACAAGTCAACTAGAAATGCTGTAACACACTCCCCACAGTGTGGTACATTAAAATGTCTTAAGTGCAGTTGTGATATTCAGCCAACAAGTTATGTATTTATAACACTAAATATAGTAAAGCTTTTCAAGACAGCTATAGGAAATTAAAGTATTCTCTTCATGTTAATGTCCAGCAAAGACTAAAGCAACAAGACCTTTGCTTTATAAAAATAAATGGAGGTTTATCTATTGTGACATAATGCCCTCTCTCCAAGCAAATAACTTTCTGGTTTGTTACCCTCTCTTACTTTCAAATACTTGTAAGTTACTAAGTCTAGAGTGGGCCAGTGTGGTAAACTAATAAAATAGTTGTAACAGGTTATGACACAGGTTACAGTTACTGTGTCTGTACGATCCTATAAGAGAAGTTATAAAGATTGTACAAAAGCAACTAGTTTGGCTTCCTACCTGAATTCTAGATCTGAAACCTGATTGGAGAAGCATCTGTGATAGAAGAGCTGGAGCTGCAATTGTTCTTGCTGGAGAAGAGGAAGCTTGGGAGGGTCTTAACCTTGTGTACACATACCTGGTGGAAGGAATGTATGTCACAAGTAGTTTAGGTTGCTTAATTAATCACTTTCAAAGGTATTAGCAAAAGCAGGTTTAATATAAATTTGCAAATCATGACTTTGAAAAGTTTGATGGCAAGAGTCACTCTATTACTCACTAGAGAAATGAAGCATACAAAGGAAAATTAAATTAGAATCAATCTGAATTTATTCACAGAGACAGAGAATGCAGAAAAGTTAGGGAGACCTGCTAAGTTATGAGGTTCAAAGAGGATGCCCTTACTTTTTGTAGAAGTATAGAAGATAAAGTTGGTTGGTAATTACTCAGTGAGCAAGAGTAGGACATGGATTGAGATGCAGACATACAAAGTTAGGGCAGCATTTTTCCAGAAATATCCTTGTTCTGTCTTCTGGACATAAAGCATAACACAGTACACAGCAGGCACAGGAATGGGATTGAGGTATCCCTATGACTCCATGAGGTTCATGTGCCCCAGGACCTGAACTTCTTATCAGCTGGATTTTCTTCTTTTCCTTTCCCCCCTCCCTTAGCTCTCTTCCTTTTCACCCTTTATCCAAACTCCACTGGTGAGTCTAGGAGATTAGCGACTAACATACCAACTTCTACCCTAAGTATGGAATTTTGAAGACCCTCTGACTTTTATCATCCTGTTCAACAACAGGCACATGAATTTTGGATGCTTCCTTCTTCCTGCAGATAGGATGCCACAGGTTTCCAAACTAATGATAGAGCATGATTGAGTACAATCTTAGTTCTGGACTTCATCAGTGGTTTATCTGTAAAGGACTTGGCAACACTCAATCATTGACTAGTTTATTATTTATGAAGAGATTCAATAGGATTTACTCAACAATATAGCATAATTATAGATACGAAATGGCAATACTTATACTGTACTTGCTACAGCATGTTTAACTCACAGATGTATGTGCATATGTACAAAGATAAAGATACCTACTAAAGTTCCCCTTAAGTTCAGTGAAATACTCATATTGAATGCCTTTGCATTTCTGAAGGAGTGAGGGTTGAGCCGTAAGCAGTAAGGGGTGCTTTCAGTTCATCATTAGCTTTTGGCACGGGTCCTCTGAGTATTGCAAACTCTTGAGTTTGGTGAGCTGTGGGAAGTGCTCCACTCAGATGAGCCCCCTGTGACCCAGGAGGGTTAAAAGGGCCTCAGGATCATTGTTTATAGGATTGCAAGTTGATTGACTTAAGACATCAATTAATCATCATCCTGGTTGTAAATAACTACTGGAATTCTTCAAAAGTGCAATAATAAGAATACTGTTCCCCTGGCTATGGTTCAGGTAAGTAATGTTCGAAAATGGGTGATCATCGAAAATGGTGTGCCCCCCCTTGCTTAGGCATCAGAAGTTCCTGTTTATTCAGTGTTTCTGGTAAGCTCATGGGGAATTTAACTGTGCAGGAATCATTAATCAAGGCAAAAACCTAAGAGATCTGGAGAGAAGGCAGAAGCTATGTATCACTGCAGGATATAAAGATGGATTAAGACTCAGTGGTGCCCAAATGGGGAAAAACTGGAATATAGGAAATTCTATTTAAACAAAAACCAGTTTAAATTAGAAGTGGTCAAATGCTGGATCAGGTTGCTCAAAGAGGTGGTGGAATCTCCCCATCTGGATATACTCATATCTGCTCTAGGTGACTATTGTCTGCATAAACTGGAGGAAATTTATTAGGGTTTGACTTGCAATTTGTGCGAAAAACTCTTTGGCTAGAAGTGAAGTACTAATTAAGAGGAAGAATATAAAGTGGTGAGTGTGGATATTTATAGTGATGAAATATTTCTGTTCACCACTAAATCCATGACTGGCAGATTACCCATTCAGTTGCAACATTGCTGAAAGTTTCCAATTTAGAAGTAGCCTTTGATTCTTTTATTTCAAGAATGCAAGCTAAATATATATTGATCAGCTAAAGCTTGTGACCTCTAGCTTCTCTTCAGTATTTCTTAAAGTCACTGAAATTGTTACAAATAGTTGTAGTATCAAGACTGTCATACCATTTTCAAAGTTCACAGCTTTAAGCCCTTTTAAATTCATACGTTTTAACTTGTGAAATTGTTCTCTTGCTTGAAACTAAGGTGCTACACTCTCCTAGATTAATTCATTCAATTAATTCCATTCATTCCAGTCGTGGAAACAAGAGGAGAAAGGCATGTGGTAAGGGGGCAGGTGGAGACTAGCTGCCCTTCTGGTTATCTTTCACCCTGCTCTGTGGAATACCCTGCTCCTTTTCCAGGCAGCGCTGTGATCTGACAAATGCGTGCTGGACCTCAGCTCCTCTGGGGCTCATGAGAAACACTGCCTGCTCCCAGACACAGCTGATTACAAGCTCCTGTTTTCATAATTGGAAACTGTTTCTCTTGTCTGACATCGTTGATCCAACACTGTCAAATAAAGTGGTTGACCCAAACTATGGGCAGGATGAAACATTGTTATGACTGAAGCCCACTCTCTCGGGCCCATAAACCGAGGTAAAAAATAACACCACCTGAGCTCTCCTGAGCTGCAGCAGGCTGCAACTAGAAACTTCTGAGCGGGAGCCTCTCAGAGCCAGCTAACCCTCGTTTGTTGTACACAAAGGACTGCTGAACAACTATATCCTTGCTCCTTGAGGCCCAACCCTCCAGCTGCTGAGGACAAAAGCATCCGGAGTGAGCATTTCACTACCTTTGAGGGGAATGTTTCACAGGTACCTTGCACTAATTCTTTGTGTGCATGCATGCGCGGATATGCTACAGAAAATCTAGGAGAAATTCTGCTTTCTTACACGTTTAAGTATCTTAGGTGTCTAACTAAGTTAGGCCTCTAAGGTAAAAACATAAGCTAAGTTAAATGTTGGCAAGTGTTGCTCTTTTGCTAAGTTAAGTTACAAGTTAAGTCCTGTTAAATGTTATTCCTCTGTTAAATTGTTACAGCTAAGTTGTAAGTTAAGTTATGAGTGAAGATAAGATATAAGTTAAGCATGGTTACGTTTGAGTCCTGTTGGGCTTTTTTATCCTTGCCCTTTCTATCCTTTTGTAACACACACTTACACACACACACACACACACAGACACACACGCCCTTGATAGTTCTTGGTTCATTTCTGTTTTGATTTACCAGATTTTGGTTTTTTGGTTTGTTGCATCGCTTTTTCCTTAGTGTGCCTTAACTGCCTCATAGAAGTGGAGCCAATCTTGCCAATGAACTTGGTTGTGCTGTTGCTTAATATTAAATCTGTTTCCTTCTGGTGCCCTTGCCAGTGATTTTTTTGAGCAATCTCAAACACTCATTCGTAATACACACCCCCATTGCTGCTCACATGTTCCCAGGCCCATGATTCTGCAGGGGCAAGTATCAAACTTGGTGCTTAGTTTCTAATGTCAGTCCGCAGTAAGATTCCAGCTGCAGTCTCCCAGGTCTTCTGCTTTCCTGGAAGTCAAATACAAATTAGCACGCTCTTCTGTACCTTTAGTTGTTACTGCAGGACGTTGTGTGAGACAGTGGCTGTATTTCCCATACGGGAAACTTCCCCTATGGGAGTATGACCTGAATTAGTACAACATACCTAAGCAAGGAAACTGCTGTTGTAAAAACACCAAGAAGGTTTAGATGAAATCCATACCACATCAGCAAATAAAAATTAAATCTCTTTATTTGGACAATGTTCAGCTGAGGAAACATAAATATAAAAATGTGAGCAGTTGTTTCTGGCTGAAGTTCCTCATTGGCTTGTGGGGTCACTCTTCTGGAATGGCTGAAGATTCCAAAGATTTTGTAAATTTGGGTAAAGTCCACTTATTTTGTAGGTGCCCACATTCAATGCTTGGTATCCAATTCAAACAAGTAGAATTGCATTAATACAGCCATCATTTTCTGGATTGTTAGTCACTTGGGCATATTTCCCTAGAGAGAAAAGGGAATTACATGTGTATAAAATCTGGAAGCAGTTCATATAGATTAGATCTTTCTATGTTTGCAAATTCAAACAACAACTGTCTAAAGCACAGGGACCCAAACACATTTCGAAGTCTAAAACTACGTTCTACAGAGCTGTAAACTTATGTTCTCAAAGCAATATATTAAAGCTGTTTTTTAATAAATGGATCACTTAAGAGTTGTGAGAAGATGAAAAAAAAATCTTAGGTTTCCT